AGACTGACTGGGTTGTTTAAACAACAATTTCTTCCTCACAGTTCTGGAGGCTGAAAGTATGTGGATCAGGGTCCAGCCTGGCTGAGTTCTAGTGAGGGCTCTCTCTTCCTGGCTTGCTAATAATGGCAGCCTTCTTGCTGTGTCCTACTGAGGCAGGAGAGAAAGACCCTACCCCAGCCCCCACCACCAGGATAAAGCAACTGGAAATCCATTCCCTATAGGCCAAAACTCCAGAACAAGAATAGCAGGACAATTAAGGGAGAAGGCTGGGCCCTGCCCAGATCATGTATTTCTCACTCTCGAAGTCAGAAGACCTCCCAGATTACACATGTGCAGAAAGGTTCCTTGGAGGTCAAAAAGGAATACTGTCAAGGAATGCGTGCACACAAATGGAAGGATCCTGAGATATACCAAGTATGGACTGCGAACCAGGCAAAATCAAAATGATTGGCCAAAGGAAACCGGAAGAAATGCTCCATAAAAGTAATTCAAACTGAGGGTGCAACTCAGCAAGTCAGGGAGTCTCCCTCTGAGTCTGCTCATGTGTCTATCCACACATACTGTACTCTTTTTCCTCTTAATAAATACTTCACTTGCTTCACTACTTTCTGTCTTTGTGGAAAATCTTTTCTGCAAAGTCAAAGGGCCAGGGCCTTTGTCACTGACCACTGCCTAGTGGCTAGGATCTGGTACTTTTACCACTATGACCTGGCCTCAATCTCTGGCTGGAAACCAAAGCCCCGCTACTGGCTAGAAGACAGCTGTTTACTGGAATACACTATTGCTGTGATACTGTGATTTATGAAAAGCATATATTTAGTCTTCATCCCTGTTCCTGGCACAGGGTTCCTAAAAATCCGTGAAATTTTCCTAAAGAGCGATAAGGATGCCTTTTCTTGGGCGGGGGTCCATGCTATGCGGCATGCAAGATCTTATATCCCAAACAGGAGGAGAGGGACTGCAGGTTGAATCAATCTCCAATGGTCAATCATACCTATATACTGAAAGAAAGAAAGCAAAAGTCGCTCAGTCGTGTCTGACTTATTGCAACCCCATGGACTATACATACAGTCCATGGAATTCTTCAGGCCAGAACACTGAAGTGGGTAGCTTTTCCCTTCTCCAGAGGATCTTCCCAACCCAGGGATCAAACCCAGGTCTCCCTCATGGCAGGCAGACTCTTTACCAGCTGAGCCACAAGGGAAGTCCAATAATACTGGAGTGGGTAGCCTATGCCTTCTCCAGCAGATCTTCCTGACCCAGTAATCAAACCAGGGTCTCCTGCATTGCCAGTGGATTCTTTATCAACTGAGCTATCAAAAATCAAAAAGGACAAAGTTCAGAGAGCTTCTAGGTTGGTGTACATGTAGAGGTACGGGGAGAGTGGCGCCCTCTAGAGGATCCACATTCCTTTCTGTATTCAACTGTCGTCTGCATCTCTTCCATCTGCCTGTTCCTGAGTTACATCCTTTTATAATAAACCAATAATCTAGTGAATAAACTGGTTTCCTAAGTTCTGTGAGCTGCTCTGGCAATTAATTGAACCCATGGAGGGAGTTATAGGAACCTCAGATTTACAGCCAGTCAGTCAGAAGCACAGGTCACAACCTGGACTTGTGATTGGCATCTGAAATGAGGACAGTTTTATGGGACTGAGCTTTCAACCTGTGGACTCTGACATTATCTCCAAGTAGACAGTGTCAGAATTGAGTTGAACTGTGTCAGAACTGAGTTGAATTGCAGGACACCCTGCTGGTAGCAGAGAATAGCTTGGTGTGGGGAAAGAATCCACACATTGGAATTGGTGTTAGAATTGTAACTGCAAAGCTTTATTTTATTTCCCTATTTCAAAGGGAATTTCAAATAAAGAATTTTTCCAACTTCTCTATTCCCTGCAGCCACCACCCTGTTATCTCTGAAGCAGACAATACCACAATGGACTTGACTCTCCACTTAAACTGCCCCCACTCCGAGCCTACCCTAAACTGCTATGAGGAGCTAGCTGCTTGCTCCTCAAACTTGAGGTTCCCTACTCCTAGAAACTGAAAAGACAATCCTTTCCCCTAGCTTATCATTGGAAGCAGTAAAAGAAGCACATATTTTAAGACAAATCAGCTTGCTGTAACAGAAAGCATTGTCACTTTGAAATCATAAAGACCCGAGTTCAAATCTCTCCTCATCCTTCAGAAGCTATATATATACTGGCCAAGTAATACAACATGAATTAAACTATCAGTTACTTTAACTTAAAAGAAGAGTACTATGGAGTTTATGATTAGTAAGATTATAATTAATGAAGTACCTAGTATGTACTTGCCAAATGGTAATTAACACTCTTTAATATAACCATTATTTTTACTAACAATAATAGCAAATGTTTACTCTAATGCATTGTATTTGACATCTGTTTTACAGGTTACCTCACTTGGATCTTTATTTCTTGCAATTTAGAAGAAAAGATAACTTGAAAATCTGCCTACTCCATAACACCTAGAAAAGCTGGATAAAAAGTATAACAAACATTTTATGTTATATAACAAATATAGGCAGGCTTGAGATTTTAAGAAAGAGAAGAAATCTCCTGAGGTCAAAAAATGAAAAGGAAATTAAAAATCAGGAATTCTCAGAGTGAGCTGATATTGGGATGCTCTGCGAAGGTTTTTTGGTCTAGGCAATAAAACAGCCTGTTTTTCATAGCTATGGGGGAGGATGGGAGATGAGGCTCTGGGCCCTGGAGAAGTCAAGAGCTGAAACTCAAGTTCCCCTGTATAAAGCTGGGAATTTAGAGAAGTCATCCATCAGTTTAAAAAAAAAAGTCTGAAAAGTAGAGAGGAAATTGGAAGCTTAGGTTAAAAAAGAAAGTTTCCTTAAGAACTGAAACCTTGGCCTGTGCGAACTTTGAATGTATTCTACTTATATGGAGTTTATACCATCTGTGCAGTCTTAGAATCCCAGTAGAAAAATAAAAACATAGTTCCAGACTGATGATAATCCTTGGTGATTAGTAGAAACAAAGACAATCCTCCCTCTCTCCCTGCAGAGTACTAATTATCTCATTTAATTCTCACAACTATCCTATGAAATAGTCTTATCCCAATTTACAAGAGAAATTCAAATTTAGGGAGGTTAAGTGATTTGTCCAAAGTCATCTAGTTATTATCTGAAAAAGCTGGGATTTGAACTTGGTTGTTGTTCATTCAGTTGAAACACATTTATCAATAAGTTATACTGCTAATCTTTGTGCAAATCAACAGATAAATGCAACTGTTTCTTTCTCAGGTTTAGCAACTCAGTAAGAATGAAGGCAGCCAGGATCACATGAAACCCTAAGGATTCCCCACACCCGCCCCCGGTTCTGCCTACAAAAGCAGCTCGGTCCACTGTGGCAAAGGACTTAGGTTGCTGGAATATTCTGAACAAGGAAGAGAAAAAGCAACACGCTCCCTGAGCTAGTGGGGCATAGGATACTGCCAAATGGATCCTGGTTACTGATATTAACGGTATTAGAATAAACATACTATAGAAGCCCAAACAGAATATATTTACTATTGGAGTTAAGTAAGGATAATAAAGCTGTTGTGATAAACACAAACATGTGAAATTGAAAATTAATGATGACAGCTTAGTCACATCAGGCTCAATATATTCCTAAATATTATTTGAGTTGCAAAGCATTCAGAAAATTCTGATTCACAAGCATAAATAGCTGCAAATGTGTTAGCACACACTGATCATCTTGTGTGTATGCAGGTTTTATAAAAATAGTTCTAAATATTTTTCAAAAATCATATCAAATATTTGAGGATTTTTGAAGCCCCATACCCCACAATGTCCTAATAGAACAAAAATTGGGAACAACCAGACAAAAAGTTCTCAGAGATCCCTCTATTCTCAATCTAGGAGGCTACACAGCATACATAGTAAAGCGCAAACTTATAAAGAGGAACCAGTACGCTCCAAACACCCTCTCTCCCTTCCACGGTGAAATTCTCTAATCTCCCATCTCTGATTCTGCCACCATGACCATTATTACTCTACTTTTTAAGCTCCATTTCCCATTTTCCCCTTTTTCTACTCTTTAGTCCAGCTAATCTCAAGTAGACTGTACCTTGACCATATTTCCTTACCTCCAGGTGTTCATTCATACTATTATCTTCACCTTGGATTTATTTTCATTATATTTTTTAAGGCTCATAATGTATATATATTTTCTCATTTACTTCCATTATGATACATCCTGCCCATTCTTAGTTATTTGTAAATAATAACCACTATTAAGTATTTACTTGGTACCACATGCTATATGATGAGTGCCTCACACTGCTCATTTAATCCTGTAGCAGCCCATGAAACATGGTAACACTATTGCTCTCATTTTATAATGAGAACACCTAGGCCCTGGAAGGTTACAAAACTTGCCCAAGGCCAGGTAAGGGAGAGAATCCCCCTTGGAAAAGTAGTGTCTGAGCTCAAAGAGATGTTAAAGGATAGGGTGAAGCTGTCAGGAGACAATGGCATTCCAGACAGAGGGACAACATTCACAAAGGCAATGCAATAGGAAACAGCGTGGTACGCAGTCAGGAAAGAGATCAGCCTTCAGAATCAGCAGACCTGGTTCAAACACCTAATTTTGTTTTGTGACTTCACTGCAACTATATTTTTCTCATCTGTGAAATGGTGATAATAAGCTGCACCATGTATAATTAAGATAAAAGTTAAACACGATATGTAAAAATGCCCAGTACATGACTAGGCCTATGCTACTGAGTAATAAATAAATGTTACCTCCCTTCCTTTCCCCTAGTGGCAGTTCAATAATCCATGGTCTTAAGAACATCATTTTTATCTCCACTAAACTCCAGACATGTCTCCCTTCTACAAGTTTCCAAGCTTTACAAGGGCTTTTGGAGGTGTCGTATGCCAAAAGTCATTGAGCACCTTATGTGGTAGGGTCCTTAACCACCACTTCTCAAACTCAGAGTCATTCTCACACCACTCACCTGTGTAGGCCATGTTCTTCGGGTTGCCATAAGGAGCCCCAGGCTGCACGGGGCTATAAACAGGGTTCATTGTGGACAAGTGAGAATCCTACAGAAAAACAAACAAAAAACCAGCATCGATTATTGATTGTTCATTCTCCCTGACATCAGCTTGTGATCTATAATCTTCAAGCGACACAGAGAAGCAACGCAGTATAACAGAAGGAGGACTTAAAAAAGCTGATTGTTTGTACTTGGCCCTTTGCCAGACACTCTTCCCACTGTACACATGAAGATGCTGAGAGGCAGAGAAGTGACACAATTGGCCTATGTCAGCTCCAGCCTTGTGATTCTCAGTTCAGTACTAGTCCCACTATCCCCTAAATCAGCTACCATGAGCATACTGTTTGGCACTGGCCAAGTCTCTTCCCCTCTCTGGGCTTCAATGTCCTGACATAAAATCAATTACTTCAGGTTCTCTGCAGTCTTTTCTAATTCTAAGGATGCCTGTCTATGAGCTGGGAAAGGATGCACTTCTACTGCTCACCAGGGGAGCCCCAGCACCTGGTAATAAGCACACAGACTGCTGGAAGAAGAGCAGCAAGTGTGCTATCCACCCTTTGCACTTACAGAAGACAAGATACTAGTTACTAGCAGTTTTGGGGCAAAATGGGAATTTATTGCCATTGACCATTTTAATGCAAACAAGGAAATACAGCCAAGGTCTCTTTCAAAATTTATTCAAGGGAAAGAAATAAAATTGGAAATTTGTGTGCAATAAGTATCACCTGCACAAGTGCTCTGTTAATTACCTTAATGAAGCACATTCTCCATTTTGATTAATGGAATATTAAGCTCTATTAGCCAGCCAATTTGTCCCACCTTGTTTAGGGAACCAACTCTGATACACAGCCCAACACATGTTTGAAGACGTGTCTCCAAATATATTATTTACACTTCATAAAAATCAAGCTATTTCCTCCTAACTAGGCTCACATGATAGAAAGGCAATTTTTTAGGTCATTAACTTCTTCCATAGCACCTCAGGATAGGAAACAAGTCAAATGCTGAAGACAAGCTGTTAAAGTCAACAGCTGGCTTGATGACAATTGCTCTGAGATTAATTAGCCTGTCCAGGGTTGTGGAATGAGACATGGAGGAAAGATGGGTTCCCAAAGAGAGGAAGGTGGGCAAACAGGTAAAAAAGAAAATGCCATTGGTCAAATTCAGATGACAGAACTTTTTGAAATGTACCCAATGTGCAGCCCTGGCAAATCACCCCAGGGCAACAGGCTAGATTAAACTATCACCAGTTGACAAACTGAAACTAGAAAACCTGACAAAAGTTATAAGAAATATACATATTCGGGCACAAATTAAGAAAAAAACATGCTTGCAGCCAGAGTTATCCAAGAATACTGCCAAGAACGTGCGTGTGTGCTCAGTTGTGTCCAACTCTTTGTGATACAGACTGTAGACCACCAGGCTTCTCCGTCCATGGCATTTACCAGGTAAGAATGTTGGAGTGGGTTGCCATTTCCTTCTCCAGGGAATTTTCCCAACCCAGGAATCAAATCCACATCTCCTGCATCAGCAAGCAGATTCTTTACCACTGCACCATCTGGAAAGTCCACAGTCAAGTACATTCTCTCTCTAAATATAAGCACTCTCCTGGCAAGGTGCTAAGAGAGTTCACAGATGTTAAAATACATTGCAAACTACAAAGTGGAATGCAGATGTAAATAATGATGGTAATAGCCTTGGATCTCTCTTCTACCCAACAGGTTCTCTGTTAAATAAGCCAGGGTAAGGAAGACTGCTAAGCAGCACAACGGGTCCTATAAATATCTGAGCACTCTCCTACTGAGAAGCTACTCTGTGTTGCTGATTGGACAAAGTTTGAAATTGTTCTTCATAACCAAAGAAATTCATCAGTTTTGAAACTGGTCTCCTGCTGCTCAAAAACGAGAGCCACAGCCTCAGAAGGAAACCATGCCTGAGTAGCACTCCACAACAGCGTGGACTCCAATCTCAACTAATGACTGGCAGAAATGAGACCTGCCAGGGGTTCAAAATGTGGAATAAGAATATGACAGGCAGACAGAGTTCCTGGCTTTCAAGGGAAGGTCAGCCTTTTACAACAGAATCCACACACTAGTAGTTTCAGGGACAGGCTAAAAATGAGTAGGAAGATCACAAGCTCTATTATCAGGCAGATTTAGGTTCAAATTCTGGAACTGCCACATACCAAATGTGGGACCACAGGCAAGTCCACTAACTTTCCTGTGCCTCAGTTCCCTCTAGACTCAAAATGGGAAAGAATAACACATACTTAACAGAGTTGTTGTAGGTATTTTTTTAAAGCTAGGTTTATTGAGGTACAATTTACATGTAGTAAAATTTACTCCTTTTAGGTATATAGTTCTATGAGCTCTGAAAAACGTATATAGTTGTACAAACACTACCACAATTAGGATACAAAGTATTTTCACCATCCCCAAAAGTTCTCTATCTTTGGGGTCAATACCCTCCCCATAAATCCTAACTGTGGCACTCTAATCTGTTTTCTGTTGTTGTTTTGTATACTCAAATATCAACTTTTACTGTAAGAAGATGAAAAAAATGAGGCTGAGAAATAGCAAATGAACAGTCCGAGGTCACAAAGTAAGTAAAGGACCAGGTTAGACTAACTAGCACCCCAAATCAAAGACCTAAATGAGACCGCTAAAAAGATAAAACTCTTAGAAGAAAAAAGAAAAGACAGCAAAATCTTTATGACCTTGGATTTGGCAATGGTGTCTTTATTATGATACTAATAGCCCCTGAGAGATCCCACCATGGGATTCAAATTCAAATCTACCTACTGGGTCCTTGCTGGACACACATAGGCAGTTAGGAGAAAATAAAGGCACTGACTGCCTGACTTCTATTCCTGCCAGCTATACAGGATATTAGCTGCCACATGCTATCAATCCAACCTGATTTCACTTTTTAAGTAAGATAAGTAGGATAAGTGCCTGAGGTGTAAGTCCCATATAGCTCTCTCTCTAGAGCTGAGTATGGAGTTGCCCCTGCTCCCTGGGGTTGAACCACAGTAAGTCTACATTACTTGTGTCAGCAAACACAACTCTGCAATAGCTTCCCATCTTATTCAGGATAAAATCCAAAGTCCTTACATGCTTCAGTCATGCCCAACTCTGCAACCCTATGGACTGTAGCCCACCAGGCTCCTCCGTCCATGTGATTCTCCATGCAAGAATACTGGAGTGGGTTGCCATGCCCCTCCTCCAGAATATCCAATTGGGATCCTCCCTACCCAGGGATCCACCCAGGGATCCTTCCCATGTCTCTTACGTCTCCTGCATTGGCAGGCAGGTTCTTTACCACTAGCGCCACCTGGGAGCCCCTGTAAGGTCTGCGAGGCCTTATATGATCTGGGTTCACATGCCCCGCACTCTGGTTGCAACTCCTACTACTACCTCTTGATTTCTACACTCCAATCACAATGACATTCTTGTTCCCTGAACACACATATATGCTTATGCCTCAGGGCCTTTGCACTTGCTCTTTCTCACACCTAAAATGACCTTCCCCATATATTCAAATTACATACTCCCTCACTTCATTCAGATCTCTGCACAAATGTCACCTTGTCCAAAGTTAATTCCTTAGCCAACCTATCTAAAAATAACTCCTACTGTTATTCTCTGTCCCCAATTTCTGTTTTACTTTTCCTACCGACCCCAATCATTACCCAATATCCTTTCTTGTCTATCTGTTTATTCTTTCCCTCATTAGAGTTGTAAGTTCCATAAGGACAAGGATTCTGTTTATTTTTTTCTTGTATCCCCAATACCCAAAATATTACCTAGTATATAATGGTTACTAAATGCATAGTAGTTGAATACATAATGGACCATCCTTCATGCCTCCCTCAAAAAACAACTCTGGAATAGTTTCAAGGTGTTTGGCACTTCTTGGCATATTTCAGTCAACAACTTGGCTTCACATCTCTCCAGCATTTACTTCCAATGTTCAGAGAAGCCTCTACTGATAACTCATCTTGGGTAGTACAAGCAATGGTGAGCTGGGTGGCAGAATGATGACTAACAAAAACAGACAGAGGTGCTAAAGACTTCCCTCCTCGTGGAGCTGGACTTCATCCCCAGACTATTTGACAAATAGCCTGCTGCTGCTGCCCTCAAAAATACCTGAACAATCTCTTTCAAATCAATAGAAAAATCTATGAGCACAAAATAACAAGAAAAATTTCAGGCGTGAGGAGTGAACACTTACAAGTACCATATGCACAATAGGTTGCAGTGTTTAGTAGTTTACAAACTACCTATATGAGGTTTTAAAGCTTATACAGAGTCCCCAAATTATGAGAGTTCGGATAAGATTTTTCAACTTTACAATGGTACCAAAGTAATATGCATTCAGTAGGAACATCCTTTGAATTCTGAATTTTACTTTTCCTCGGCTAGTGTATGCAGCACAAACCTCTCTCATGATATTTGGCAGCAACAGCAATACGCTATAGCTCCCAGTCAGTCAATGGTAAACAACCAATTTACATGTGCGACCATTCTGTATCCATATAACCATTCTGTTTTTCACTTAAAATATAGTATTTAATAAATTATATGAGATATTCAACATTACAAAATAGTTTTGTGTTAGATGATTTTGCTCAACTGTAGGCTATTGTGTTCTGAGCATGTTTAAAGTGGGCTAGGCTAACCCACGATGTTTGGTAGGTTAGGTGCATTAAACGCATTTTCAACTTAAAATGGGTTTATTGGGATGTAACCTCATTGTAAGTTAAGGAAGATCTAGTTTACAATGAGATTTTAATCACTATCTCACTTGATCCTTTGAAGTAAGCAACACAAGGATTATTAATTTCATTTGACAGAAAAAGAAATTAAAGCTTACAGGTTTAATGTATATTAGGATAGATACTGTAAAAAAAAAAAAATAGATATAGTGTCTGTCCAAAGGAGGCTATGATCTAGTTAGGGAATTTTAAAAGTTAAGTAAAAATAAACATGCCAAAAATAATGGAACTTTTAAGCGCAGAGGTGGAAC